ACTAAGCCAGGATCAGATGAAATGAAAAGGGAATTATATTATCCAATTTTAATATTTGTGTTAATTTTTTTTTTTCAAATGATGATTCTAGAAGTTTTTCCAGTGAAATCTCTCAGAATGATATTTTCCAAAAGCCAAGATTATTCTGTATTTTATTGCTCTTGTCTTTGGGTAACTCTGATGAGTAATATTTAAATTTGTTCCAATAAACATGATAATATGCAGGAAAATGTAAGTCTATAACATGACTACTAGTAAGTAGAATAATGTCTAAAATTAAAAATGTTTTTCATTAAAAATTGTAATAGTGGGAAAAAATCATCTATAGAGTATATGCCAGTTAGTTGCCCCAGGACAAAAAGATGCTTCCGTTTGTTTGTTTTTCTACAGTTTCCCAGAACTGTTTGGAGAAGTGTACCAGAGTTGTGTCTGTGTTATATCTATTACAGAGCAAAGTACTGCAATGTCAGAGGAAGACCATCCTTTGAAACAGAATTGGAGCTCTAATTCTATTTATTGCTTTGTTGTCCTCTTTTCCGTAAGGTTTATGTGCCTAGGAATTACAAACAAGTAGTGAAATTGAGAATGAAAGGTGAGAAGGTATACGATTATGCGTGGAAACAATCATGTAACAAAATACTCCTCTAATGGATTAAAATCCTTTTAAAAGGACCACTTTTCTGAGGATAAGATTTTTCTGTTCCCTTTTTTTTTGACCCCATCTAATTAGTCACCAAACTCTTTTCATGTTTTTCCGCTTTTCTTTCAAAGCTCTGGGTCACTAGAATATGCGTTTTGTTTCTCCCATGTGCCATCCTGCATAGCGTTGCTTGTCTTGTTGCATTTGATTACAGTTGCCCTTCACTGTATCTAGTTTATTCCTGTAGTTCAATCCTATTCGCTCTTCAGGGGAGTTCTCAGTATCCAGTTCAAGTTCCATGTCCTTGGTAAAACCTCTTTTTACTTTAGCTGGAAGTTGTTTTCTCTCTGCTTTGAACCTCTGTGGTGCTTATGGCCTTGCAGTCCATTTGACATTGGATAGCCTTTGTCCTAAAATGTCCAGATTTTGTTTAAAATTTTATTTTTAGCCTTTATCTTTTCAAGTATATAGTTACCTTTTTAATTCCTTGTAGTTGTCATTTGTAGCATAGTGTGCTAAAATAATACCCATATTATAGGCTTTATATATAATACATGTGTATATATAGGTATATAAATACAGAATTATATGTAATACGCCCATGCATGCGTGTGAGTGAGTGTGTGTGTGTGTGTGTGTGTGTGTGTGTATGTGTATTGCCCTTGTCTTTGGGTAGCTCTGCTGAGTAATATTTAATTTTTTCAATAAGTTTGATAATATGCAGTATACATACATATTTAACTTTACTGCATATTATACATATGTATATATACACACATGTACACACAGGTATTATATGTGAGTTGTTTTGGTACCTGGAAAGGGTGTGTGTGAGTGGAACTGTAATATTGCTAAATCTTTTTGATTGTATGAAGTAAATGTCTTGTTCTGACATCAACTGAATGAGTAACTTGACTTTATTTTAACCTTGGAAGGAATATATGTGAGGCAGACTCTTTTAAAGGGTTTTGGATACCACAGAGCTACAATTCTTGAAGTGGTTAATTTTAAAAATCTTTCAATAGTCTTTTCACCTTGATTACTGATGGCCTCTGCTAGATCTAAAAGTAAAACATGAATTGTTCAGCGTGATTCATTTGACATTGTCCTCTGTTTGTTGGAAAAATCATATCATTCTGGCACTTATTTAGTGTTTTAGGGTGGACAGTGTACTTTATTGATTTTTATAGCATATAGGAACAGATGTTAAAACTCACTTTATGTTTTGTTTCCTCGTTTAGCAAAAAGCATTTTTATAAATGTCTGCTTTATGCCTGACATGCAAAACAATGAGTAAGATAAATGGGCTTTGCATTTGAGGGATTCATATTCTGGTGGTGAAGACAGACACATATATGTAAATAAGTGCAGTGGATTGTTACAGGTGCTATGATAGAAATATATAATGAGGAAATAAAGGACCAAAATCCAGTAATCATAGACACTGTCATTTAAAAGTATGAAATCTAGTAAGCCCTACTATGTCAGTGAATTTCTAATATGTTACGTGTAAGAATTAAATGAGAGAATTGCTACATAGAAGGTGTAGGTACTATTGTTGTATGCTTTTATAGATTATGGAACAAAATTCAAAGTCATGCAGTCAGTTTTCATAGTGTTAATAGAATCTAAGCATTCTTCAACCCCAGTGACAGCGTTACTAATTTACCATTTTTGTTTTGGAGGATAGCTTTATCCTAAGTAGCCAGTGGCATTGTAAAGTTTGGTGATGGAGACATCAGTATTTCCAGTTAAATTATCGTAACATAATGTGGTTTCTCAAAAATGGAAGTTGCTTATTTTTAAAGGGGTCTTTTTTTTTTAAATGATCCAAGCCCCCAAATTTATAGAGTTGCATAGGAAAGCAAATGTTATCACAAACCAGAAGTACTCACTGGTCAACCAACCACTAATAATATTGATTCCCAGTACCTTTGTGTGCCCGCCTACCTAATCCACACTATCAGTTTTGCTTTGAAGTTCTCTATGCAGCTGCTCAGGTCCTTCTATGAATGCCTCTTTGAGCCAGGATGGATTGGAAATTAGCTGTTGAAGGAGGTCAATATTGACCTCTTCTAGAGGTTAATTGGGATGACTACTGTGTAGGGACCAAGAGGTATTGCTAAATCTATATGAGAATGATATTGGGGAGGCTAAGGAGAAGAATTTTCTTGGGGTGTTGAGTATAAAAAACAAACTGCTTACTTATTCTGCTATACTGTCACAACAACACACAACGCTTCTGTGATCAGATGTGTGGGAGATTTTCTCCACACACCAAGCCAGCAATTCTCCAGCTGGGTGTCCTCTAATATAATTCAGTTCTTGGCAGTATTTACCTAGAGGTAGTGTCACAGCCCATAGGTTGAGGCCTCAGTCCCACAAGACTGCCTCCCCCTGCAACCTCTCCACGCACATGCATGTGCGCACACACACCCCCCCTCACACACACAATATATATACACATACATACACACTCTTTTAAGATGCCAGTTGGATACCCCAGGTTGTTTTACCTTTGCTTCTGACAGACCAGCTATAAATCAGGATTCCCACAAACTCTCTCCTTTGGGCCCAGCTAATTTGCTAGAGTGGCTCGCAGAACTTACGTTTACCAGTTTATTACAAAGGCTATTAGGAAGGAGATAGACGAACAGCCAGATGGGAAAGATGCATAGGTCCAAGTATGGGAGAAGGGATGAGGAGCTTCCATATGTATTCTCACCAGGTGAGTCACCCTCCAGTAATTTCCATGTGTCCAGCTACCTGGAAGCCCATCCACACCCAGTCCTTTGGGATTTTTATAGAGGCTTCACTAAAAAGGCACAATTGATTAAATCATTGGCCACCCATAACCAATGTAACTATCAGCCCCTCCTGTATCCTTAGAGCTTAGGGGTTGTGGCTGAAAGTTTCCAGCTTCTCATCATGCCTTGGTCTTTACTGTGACTAGCCCACACCACGAGCTATCCTTGAGCCCCCAACCATCAGTCAACTCATTAGTATACACAAAGACACTTAGCACTTTGGAGATCATAAGGCTATCACAAGCTATTTGTTAGGAAATGGGAAAACCAAATATATATTTTACAATATCACAGATGTCTTTAAAGAAAAGTTACTTCAGGAGTATGTAACACTTACTCATAAAAAAAAAAAAAAAGAGCATATTAAGTGTGTTTAGATGGCTTCTGCACTCCAGGCACTTTTTATGTATTATTATGTAATACCCTACTGTGAGAGCTAGGTAGTAGGATTTTCCTGTTCACTGACTAAGGCTCAGAGAGCCTTGAATAGACTATTCCTGAGCCTATGTGAACACTACTGTAATATTTAGACTGGCATTTTTTTGGTCATAATTTGTCCTTTGTGTCTGAATTCTATTTTTCTGAAGTTATCCCACTTGAGCCTTCCTATTTCGTATTTTTCTATTGTATCATAATCAGAGTTCTGAATTCCACATGCTATAGCAAAATAGTGGATAACTTTCTCCTTTATGTGCTGGAATTAATTTATTTTTACTGATAATAATATTTATTGAATATTTCCTAGGCGATAAACACTGTGAAGGCACTATACATACAACTGGGAAAAAGAACTGCAATATAGAATTAAATTTAAAGGAAGAATTTCTATTGCTTAGACTTGCCAGTTGTTGGAGACTTTCTGTGATATGCTCATCCCTCTTATTTCTTTTGGGAAAGAGGAAGTTGGGAAGAGGTCAAAAACAGATTCGTTTTAGGACCCAAGTGAGTTTATTGGAAGGGATCAGAAGCTAGGATGGGAGGAACTAAAGGAATGCCTTAAGTAAAAGGGGCATAAGTAGGCTTGCTTTCTTATTTAACCTGTGTGAAAACCTACTTTTATTAAGCCAGCAATATAAGTACTTTAATAGTATCATATTTAAGCTGGTTGGCTTTGATAGCAGAACTTGATACGGATATTATCAAGTTCTTGATAGCTTTATATTTGATGTCAATGACAAGTTAGGTAAGTTACAGTACTTTAGTGCCGTCTGCTAATTAATTAGAAGTAAAGTGAACTGGGCACTTCCTGAGCAGTAGGTAAAAGGATCTAGAATGAGAAAGAATAACTAGAAAATAGTCTGATACAGCATGAAGGACTATGTTCAGGTGCCTGCAGCTGAACTTGAAAAGCCTTATGAATTTACTTCAACAAGGGAATCAACTGCATTTCTATACTTGAGTAGGTCCAATGATTTTATTTTACTAGTTCTTGTGATATTTATAAGTACAGTATCCTTATTTATTTAAAAGCCTGTTTAGTAGTTTCTCTTGTGATTATTATAGTAATTTCTTTTGTGATTAATTTTGACCTTATATTGTCTTTGATATAATTTTATAAAATCCTAAAAGTAAAAATGAGAAATTTTAACCTATATACCTTCTTTATTATGGGTAGTTTTTTATTTATAGTAAGTGGTCAAGAAGGTGTTTTCGTTTTGTGCTGGGCCTTCCTGAGAAACTCACTGTGATCATTTATTTTCCTATATAGCAGTGCATCCCTCATCTGTAAGGCATACACATTTCTACAATTATGTTCATTGGTCGTGATTTATAGAAAGTTAAAATATTTAAAGCAATTTAGAAATTTGCTGGTACTTGAGTTTAGTGTGGCAGTTACTCTCTGAAGTCCTCAAGTCTGGGTTGGAATTGCAGTTCCTCAGATCCTCCCCAGCTGGGTGTTGCTGGACAAAATTGGCCTCTCTAAGCTGGTCTCCTCATTTATCCAATGGAGATGATAGCAACTTCAGAGAGGTGCCATAGGAGTGAGTGAGTGAATAATGCTGTAACATCCTTAGTACAGTGCCGCACATTTATTTTCAGAAAATGGTAATTGTTACACCTGCTACTGATACAGTTAAGGTGGTGAACCATAGGTAAAATTTCTTGTGATTTTTAAATGATTGGTTTACAGAAAAGGTTTTTACACTACTGGGAATACTATCTTAAGGGCACTTGATCGTCATCTGCTTACGCTGATTGTTGTAGTACTCCTCTTACTGCATTACTAATAATAGCTACCATTTTATTGAGTGCTTACTTACTAAGAGCTTTATGTACAATTTTATTTAATTCCCACAATTATTATGAAGCAGGCATTATTACATCTATTTTTACTGATTGCGAAACTTAAGTGTAGTAAGACAAAATAACCCATCCAGCCCAGCTGGACAGTGGGAAGACTGATTACCTTCAGATCTAAGTCCAAAGCCCATGTTCTTTAACCCCATGGCTGCTCACTATACACTTTGCCATTTGCTTTTCTGTCTCTCCTGGGAAACCTAAGTTTCCTGAAGGGGGAACTGGACATTGTTTGCATTCCAAGGTTGCATTTATTTTTCAAGCTCTTTTAAACTAAAAGTAATGTATAGTGTATAACATCAGAACTTGCTAATGTAAGTGAAACTTAATAGCTTATTAAGAATCTTTCTTATTGAAAAATAACAAAATTTCCCATTCTAACAGAAAACTTGAAGGATTAGGACTTGTTTTTCAGACGTATTGCCAGTCTCCGCCATGGTAACAATTTGAATTTACTATATTTGGCTTTGCATTATTGTACACTAAGTACTCACTTAATCTTCTTTTCAGGTTATAAGCCTCTTTCATCATTGCAATACAGGACCTGGCTCAGTGCTTGTGTGCTTAATACATATTTGATTTTAATTTATTTCAGTGTCAGTATTAATGTTGATCTGAAGTATTTTCAGATTATTTCAGTTGCTTGGGATTTATCAGTGAGCAAAACAATGATCCCTGCCTTCATCTGAGTTTATAGCCTGATGAGGGGGCACAGTTGAGGACCAGTAAACACAATAGAAAGTTTATTTAATGTGTTAGGTGATAAGTGCTATGGGAAAAAGAAGATAGAGCAGGGTAAAGGTGGTCAGAGAGGCTTAGATGAAGAACTGAAGAAGGTGACAGAGTTAGTATAGCTGTTAGTAGATATTTGGAGATTCCCAGGCAGAGGGAACAGTGAGAGCTAAGATCCAAAGGAGGGGGCCTAGTTAGTTAGAATCAGCAGGGAGACCACTGTGGCTGGAGTAGAGTGGATTGCAACAGGTGGGTGGGGATATGCCAGAATTACGGGGAGATGAGATCCGAAATGAGGTAAAGGGGACATGGATGATGTTTTTGCTTTGTCAGATGAATTTGGTAGGATGTGTATGCATGTTACACAAAAATCCTTAGAAGCTGTGTGTTTTTGGAGTAAGGATCAGAAATTTAACTTTTTCTTTTCTCAGTCACAGATTACATTTGTATGTCTTTATTTGTGGCAGTTTGAACTTTGTATTTTATATAGCCCATAATATTCAGAAACTCGAATTTCCAGTTCAGTTTATAATATTAATAATCTATGTACTTCTTGATTTCTTTTTTTTGACAGGAGTATGTTGCTGCTGTTCTGCTTTGCGTCCTCGCTACAAACGCCTGGTGGACAACATATTCCCTGAAGATCCAAAAGTAATTTGATCTACATCTACTGATCCTTCTCTTTGCTGACCCATTCTGCCCCCCGCTGACCTCCCTAAGGTTTCCCTAATTTCATTTCTCTACTTTTACCTCTATATCTCATCATTTATACTACTTTTTTTATACTTTTCTTTTTTTTAGCTCTTAAATGACCCATGCTTGCTTGTCTAGTTTTCAGATTCTTTTAGTAGATTAGGCACAAATCTGGAAAAATGGACAGTTGATGTTCTTTTATAGTTTATATAGTATCTAATTTAAGTAACACTGTCTCATTAAAAATTTATGAACCAATGCCAGATTATTTAAACTAAGCGCTCATGATACCAGTGTGAACAAGAGATATGGTTTTATACTCTCACTATGCACATATATAAGTAAATTGATAATTAAAATCTGTTGTGAAAAAAAAAATGTTGTAATAGACAGATGAAGTGTGAGTTGCTACTGAAGTAGGAAGGAGTGATACCCAGTCGGGCTGAGGAGAAGAAAGCCTGGAGGAAAAATCTAAGCTAAGATCCAAAGAATAAATAGGGATTGACCACACAGTTTTTAGAAGAGAACTGAGAGGTAAAGAAAGACTGTTTCAGGCAGAGTTTTTCTTTTTACTTAAATACTATTTAATTTTTATAACAATTATTTTATTTGTGAAGATTACTGTTTCAAAACAACTGGTTGTTTTGAAACAACTTGTTTCACATTGCCTCAACCTTTCTAAAACTTCTGTAGTCTCATGTTAAATGAATATAAACAAAAAAGTAAGTTATATGGCTTTTGACTTCCAAAATTTGCTTTCTTTTAAAATGTAACAGGCTACATAAAGCTTTTGGTTATCTTAACATTAACTTAATGTTAATATATCTCATTTTAAACCAAAGCTATTTAAACATTCAGTTATGTAGAGGAGATTAATTAAATGTTATTGGCTGCCAGATATCCTGGATAATTTGTGGCATATAAAAAACCCTAAGATATGGTACTTGCCTTTAAGGACCTTTCCATCCAGTAACTGACATAAAGCAGAAACATACTAAATGTGAAATTAAAATGCATACATTAGTAAGTAAAATGCAAAGTAAATCAGGTGGAAAGTTTTTGTCTCTAAAGCAGGGAGGTATCACTGTGGGTTGGCAATCTCTGGGAAGCATTCGCAGAGGAAATGAGATTTGCTGAGCTTTGAAAGATATATACCATCTGGAGAGGCAGACAAGATTAGTCTCTTTATTGCAAATGAGGGGAAAGAGAAAAGACTTGGAAAGCAAGACATATATTTGAAGTCTAGAGCAAGCTATCCATCGATTTGAGGCAAAGGTTTTCTAACCTAATTGTAGAGTTTTAAGTGTGGTAATCGTGTTGACATGAGTTCTCATTTGAAATTTTAGATATTATTAGTTAATAGGCTAAATATTCAAGTAATTATTTTCCTGAGAAGCCTGGGACATGCCATTACTGAAGGTAAGGTGGAGGCCAAATTTTAGAGAATTGTAAACGACAAGCAAGGCCTCCACTTTAGGCACTTTAACTTGTAGGCAGTGAGGGAGCTTTGAACACTTGATCATTTGAATGGGCACAGGTAAATTAAAGAAAGAATCCTTATTTTTGGCAAGAATTACTATAAGATTTATTTAAATAGCAATCTTTAAGATCAGATTTTAAAAAATGAAAAGATCTACATGAACCTTGAATACATATGGCAAACGTTACTCAATTTGCCATAGTTATTATATTTAATTTATTGAAACAAACAAATCTTGTGATATGTCCATAATGGGTTAGACAGTAGGTACCCAAATGCAGAAGCAAACATGTCATAGTCCCTGCCTTGAAAGAAAAATCTAGTGAGGGGAACAGATAAACAATTTCTTAAAATTAGTAGCCAGATAATCTTGGGCAGGTCGCTTGGTTTCTCATTATGTAATGGAGTAATAAATAGTACCAAGCTCATAAGGTTCTCATGAGGACTAAATGAGTTCATGCAGTTCTTTGCTCACTGTTGCTTTCCTAATGTCTATCATAGTGCCCGGCACATAGTTGGCACTCAATATTTGTTTAATCAATGAAAAAATAACCTGATAAAATATAATAGTGGAGATAAGTACTATGAGCTAAAAGAACATATAATTGGAATATCTCACCCAGTCTTGGTGGTGGATCTTTTGGGAGGGTGCAACACATTTTTGGAGGAAGCTAAGACCTAAAGGATGAGTAGGAATTATCCCCAGATGAACTGAGAAGGGTTCCTGGGCAAAGAGGTGAGTTGAGTGAAAGAAGTGTTGCACAAAAGATGTGATTTGTGAACTGTATGATTTTATTTATGTCAGATGCATGCTGATTCATAGTGATAAAAAGCAGAGCAGTGGTTGCCTGAAGAAGGAGAGAGAGAGACTGCGCAAGACATGGGAAATCTTTTGTAAATGATGAAAATGTTCTATGCATGTTGAACATCCCTAATCCAAAAATCTGAAATCTGAAATGCTCCAAAATTGAAAACTTTTTGAGCACTGACATGACACTCAAAGGAAATGCTCACTGTAGCATTTTGGATTTTGAATTTTTGGATTAGGCATATCAAACTGGTTAATTATCTGCAAATATTCCAAAATCTGAAAAACTATCCATAGTTGAAACACTTCTGATCCCAAGCATTTTGGATGAGGTATCCTCAAGCTGTATCTTATTTGTAGTAATGTCTTCACAGATGTACACAACTGTCATTTTTCCAATTATATACTGTATATCAATGCAGTTACTTATATATAGATTATTCCTCAATAAAATTAGTAAGGGATTAAAAATATAGGTGAGACACAATTGTATTTAAATGATGATATGGATGAACTGATAGAGAGGTAGAGGTCAAGGAACTAGGAATAAGAGAGGTTAACTGATGAAGCCAGATGCTGGGACTGTATTCAGAAGACAGAGCAGAGGCAAACCAGTTCCTCCTGGACAGGAAAACTGGATCTCTTCACTTTGCCTAGGGCAGGGTTTCTCAACTTAGGTTCAGTTGACATTTTGGTTCAGATAATTATTTGCTTTGGGGGGCTATTGTGTGCATTGTGAAATATTTAGAAACGTCCCTGGCCTCTACCTGTAGATCCCAGTACCCACCTCTCCCCATCTATGACAACCCATAATGCCTTTAGACATTGCCCTGGAGGGGCTCAGTTACCTCTGGTTAAGACCTACTGACCTAGCAGGCAGTGAGAAAGCAGGGATGTTTTGCCAGTTAATACTAATCTGATGGCTTCCACCTTCTCTGAGATAGAGAAGAGCTTATTTGCTGTCAGAGAGAGGAGAGAAGCACCAAAGTAGCAAGTCTGAGGAAAACAGAATAGGTGGAAAATATGAGGGGGTGACTCAACTAGGGACACAACAAAATAGCCAAAGGACATTGAGGGACCAGTTGAAGATGAAAACACACGTTTACACAATTTTTGTTGTAGATTCACCATCTAACAGTTTCTCTCTCTCTCTCCCTTCTCACCTATTCCAATATTCCTAAGCACACTTACTTGGGTTATATATGGCCAAGAAATTTATGTGGTAACTGGGGAGAATTTGTGGACCTGTTGCATATCATCTTTTAGAAGGCAGAGACAAGTGACCGTTTTATAATCCCACATCAGGGACCTGTTGTTGCTTTTTAAATGTATCAAATAAGCATAGATTCTACAGTTCTATACACTTTCTCGTTTATTAATTTTACAACAAAACCTTCTAATGATATCACTGAGTTCTGAATCATTAAAAAAAGCAATATGTTGACTATTGTATAAGTAAATGAGCAAAACAGGCTTAATAATAATTCAAGTTTTTAAACCGAAAGAAATTTTGTTTGAAATCTTTTTACACCTATATCCCATTTCATACATATTGCAGATAATTGAGCTATGTATCTATAAAGGAAGATATTAGAGTCTAATTTATTTTTGTGCTTCACATAAAGGGGGCATTCTAAACAACTTTTTAAAAGTTCTGTGTATCCATCATGGTGAATATTAGCATTAAGGAGGTTATATACAGAAGGGTTCTACATAAATATGGTTTAATCCCAAATTCAAAAATGGAAAATGTAAAGCAAGCAACACTTAAAAATATAAGCATGAAAATATAGATAATCTATTTATCTTGTTATTCTGATTATTTTTAGGATGGCCTTGTGAAAGCTGATATGGAGAAATTAACATTTTATGCAGTATCTGCTCCAGAGAAACTGGATCGAATTGGTTCTTACCTAGCAGAAAGGTTGAGCAGGGATGTCGTCAGACATCGTTCTGGGTAAGGAAACTAATGGCTGCTAAAATTGTATCTTTGGAAAATTCTTTCTAGACTAAATCATTCTATAGATTATTTTGCCATTTAGTGACACAAAAATAATATGTAGCACATAAAGCATTGTAATATACAAAGAAATGTATAATACTCCTATAGATGTTGTGGCTTTTATTACTTCCCTGGTGGTCAAATTTTGTGAATAGATTAACGTTAGTTAACTGAATTACCTTTAGCTTGCTTCTATCGATTTTTGAGACTTTTCTAATGGGAAATAGTAGAAATTGACTTAACTGTAACTTAAAAATCAGTCTCTAAATTGAAAATAAACAGAAAGATCCTATAAAGCAGATGATTTTTTTTCACACAGCTTTAGTTTTTCCTTTCAGAGGAGTAGTAAGAGAGAACCATGTTAGACTTAGATATCAAGGCTCAGAAAATCCCAGCAGGCTAATTTGAAACTGTTACTAGCTGTACTCCTACTGATAAGAAGTCTACCATCCTACTATATTCTCTGTGCTCGAACAATAATAACTTTGCAATTTGGATTATAAATACTTTCTTATTCTGTCATTTTATGATCCAAGTTTATTAGAGTATTCTCCAAGTGATATATTAGCTTTCTGTACTTCTGCATTGTTATTACTTAGAACATTTTAGTAAATCATGGCACAGATAGCTTTATGGTTGATCGTTGAATGAAAATTATCTACACACTGAATTTTAATTTTTTTTTTTTTTTTAGATTTGCCCTTAAAAATGTGAGGATTTATTACATGTATGGAATGTGTAAATATCAAGTTGGGGTATTCGGGCTATCCATCACCCCAAGTTATTTGTCATTTCTTGTGTTGGGAACATTTCAAGTCCTTTTCTAGCGACTTTGAGATATGTAGTACATTGTTGCTAATTTAATCACTCTACTGTGCTGTCAAACATTAGAACTTATCTGTATTATCTAATTTTGTAAGTTTGTATTCACTAACCAACCTCTCTTCATCCCTCCATACCCCACCCCGCCAGCCCCTACCCATCCCCACTTACGTGCCCTTCCTAGCCTCTGGTATCTGTCTGAATTTTAACTACAAAATGTAAAATCTGATGAATTGGAAAGTAATATTTATGAGACTTTGAAAATAGTATTCTGTTGCTGATAGTGTTTTATCTACTCATATTTACATATATAAGTAGATTATATTGGTAATTGTCACATTACTAATTATTTTGGGTTAGATACAAGTAAATATGGTTAAAAGTCTGGAAAATAGAAAATGTCCGTATTTACAAAGAAAAATACACAAAGTTAATGTTAAAGAAGCTCAGATAGTTAAGGAGGAAATGGAGGAATACAGAGTATATTTTCTGTATACTTCAATATAAGGATTGTTTTATAAGCTGCAAGATCATTAGTGCTATGTGAGAATTAAGACATTACTTAGGAGTTACTAAATTTGCGTTTCTTTCTTTGGTGTATTTTAATAGACTTATGTCAATTCTTCCAATGGAAAGCACTTAGGAGAATTAAGAGAGGTAGAAATGCTTTGATGTTTTTTTTCTCCTACACGTAGGTATGTTTTGATTGCTATGGAGGCTCTGGACCAACTTCTCATGGCTTGCCATTCTCAAAGCATTAAGCCATTTGTAGAAAGCTTTCTTCATATGGTGGCAAAGCTGCTGGAATCGGGGGAGCCAAAGCTTCAAGTTCTTGGAACAAATTCTGTGAGTAAAACTATAATGTTACTAATTTTGTTTAATTAGAATATCCATAATTAATTGCTTCTTAGAATGTCTTTACCTGGTAAAGGCAAATTTCCTGAATTCAACAGTCAACACAAATTAAGATAATTAGAATTATTTGTCTCTCGCTTTTTCTATTGTTTCTTGTGAAATCTGTGGTATTAACTGATCGTAATAGAATATTTGCCTGTAAATGAATGCACACCTGTCATTTTTATTTTCTCTTGGTCATTCATATATTGCAACATTAACTTTGTGTCCTACACTTCCTTTGAGTTTCATGCCTTTTCATTAATTAAGGTTGTTTCCATTTTTATGGCTAGTATGAATAATGCTATGAAGATTTGTGTACAGGTTTTTGTGCGGATGTATGTTTTTCATTCTCTTGGGTATAGTATACACACTACAAAGTATATACACTTAGTAGTATATACACTTGTAACCATCCTAGAGGGTCTGAAGTGGAATCTCATTGTGGTTGATTTTCATTTCCCTAATGACTAATGGTAAAGCTTTGCATGTGCTCACTGACTGTTGTGTATATTTTCTTTGGAGAAGTGTCTGGTCAGATCCTTTCCCCCATTTTTCAATTGTCTTTTTATTGTTGAGTTGTAAAAGTTCTTTACATATTCTTAATAAGAATCCTTTGTCAGATATATGATTTGCAATTATCTTCTCCAGTTCTATGGTTTTGTCTTTTCACTTTCTTCCTGGTGTGCTTTGAGTTACTAAAGTGTTGATTTTGATGAAGTCTGCTTGGTTTTTTTTCCTTTTATTGTTGGTGTGTGGGGGTGTATATGTGTGTGGGGGTGGGAGGTGGTGGATGGGTGTGATTTTAGTTTCATATCTAAGAAACTATTGCCTAATCTAAGATCACAAAGGTATACTCTAATAGTTTTTTCTGAGTTTTACAGTTTAGATTTGTATTTAATAAGCCATTTTGAGTTAGCTTTTGTATGTGATGCGAATTAAGCATTCAGCTTTATCCACATTTTGCATATGGATATTTATGCCATACTATTCGTTGAAGAGCTTAATATTTCCCCTTGAATGGTCTTGGCACCCTTTTAAAAATAAATTTACCATTAACATTAAGCGTTTGTATCTTTATTCTTTCCTAGACTACTTCTGAACTATTTCTGCTCACCACATTCATTTTCTTCTATCTTAAACCATAGTTCATTAAAATAAGGTTGGAGAAAGCATACCTAATTAAAAAAGAAAATACAGTGATATTATTTCTTCCCTTGTCTTTAGTTTCATTGTATTACCTTCAGTCTTTCAGTTCCAGCTTCTTCTCTGAGAAGCTTTAAGGCATTCGACCTACGTGAATACTGTATGTTTCCATTCAGATTTTTAATCAAAAAATAAAATAATCATATATTACCTGCTATTGTTTATAGATAATTATTTTCTGGTATAGGAAGAGGAAGTATACGAGGTGCTGACAATATGGATTCCAGAGTCCGACCGCCCCAGTTTGAATTACGCCTGCACCGCTTTCTAGCTGTATATCTTGAGCAAGTTATTTATTCTTCCCTTGCCTCAGTTTTTCATCTGTGAGAAGAGGATAATGAGAATATCAGTCTCACAGGATTGCTGTGTGACATGAGTTGATACATATGAAGCTCTTGGAACAGTGCATGGCACTGTTAGTTATTACTGGTAGCAAGAGTGTTAAATAAAACCCTCATTCAAACTCTTAATATTATTTTTATCATTTATTTCAGCAGGAAAATATTGGGTATTTCCAAATGCATTTAGATGATTTGACAAGCTTAGTTTCAGGCAAGGTAGCTACTGAGGCTTCTCCTGTTTTGTTTACATTAGGTGAGGAAAGTTTAGGGGAAATAGCTTTATAGCTAGAGGGAGAATTTTAGTATGCATTTCCAAAAGTTTCTTTACTTGCAGCCAGCAATGCCTTTAGATTGCTTTAATGAGTTAATTTGGGCAAAAGACCAAATTCCCCAGTTATCTACTTTAATTTGAGTGAACTTTATTAAACAAAATGCCAAAGTATCTATATTATCTTGACCAATATTAATTACCTAGTGTTTCCTTGTGGTCTGATTTTCTTAGTTGTGCTGAGTGCCCCATGTCATCAAACGTGACCAGCACTGATTTAAGATTTATAAATAGTCTTCCTATGGTTTAATTTGTTGCCGTTTTCCTCTTCATGCTAATGCCAACTCAATATGACAGTAATAGAGGCAATGTATTTTGGTTTTCCTTTGTTTCAGAAACTGTGCTAGATATTTTTTATTTTTACCTCTTTTTTATTGTCAACTGTTTCAAACACAGAAAAGTATGGAGCATAATATGGCTGTATACTCACTGATTCAAGAAAAAAAAATGTTAATATTAATATCAATAAATAATAATATATAATTTTATGAAAATAATACATAATGGTAATAAACGTTAATACTATGCAACATTGGTTCATGTCTTTTTAAAGACATACTACAGTATTTGCTAGATATTTTACATATATTATGTCATAATTCTCACAAAAACCCTTCACGCTTAGAAATATTATTTTCATTTTGTAGATGAGGAATTGCAGCTAAATAACTTGTCCAAAGACACAGTGAAGTAATGCTGCATGTAACGGGGATTCACTCTTAGGCCTTTCTTACTTCAAAGCTTGTGTTCTTTGTACAATGATAAATAACACTGTCATTATTGTGGATTAAGATTTAGGGAAAGCACAGATTACGTTTCTTCTGTTTTCCTCCTCTTGATTTCTAAAAGTTTATTATTAAAAAGTTTCTTTTGGCTTAGGTGCCATGGTTCATGCCTGTAATTTGGGTGCTTTGGGAGGCCAAGGCAAGAGGATCATTTGAGGCCAGGAGTTCAAGAGCAGCCTGGGCAACATAGCAAGAGACTCCTATTGTTACAAAAATAAAATTAAATCAAAAAATTAGCCAGGTTTGGTGGTGCATGCCTGTAGTCCCAGCTGAAGGATCACTTGAGCCCAGGAATTCAAGGTTTAGTAAGCTATGATTGCACCACTGCACTCCAGCCTGGATGACAGAGCAAGACCCTATCTTATGAAAAGAAAGCTTTTGTATAAATGTCATATTTGATATTTTGTTTGTTTCTTATTTTCATGTTTCTTTTTAATGTAACAATGTATGAAAGTAAATGTATTTGGTCTATACTTTCAAGAAGGTGATATATATTTTTTATATTGTTTTTGTTTTTTAGTTTGTCAAATTTGCAAATATTGAAGAAGACACACCATCCTATCACAGACGTTATGACTTTTTTGTGTCTCGATTCAGTGCCATGTGTCATTCCTGTCATAGTGATCCAGAAGTACGAACAGAGTATGTATTATTTTACTTTATAATCTGGATCTGTAGTAAGTAATTTAGAGATGAATACTCTGTTTTTTTGTTACATAATGATTACCAGAGGAAACCAGAATATGGCTGAAATATGGCTTCCCATTGCTGTTAGAAGTTATAATTACTGACTGAAGTAGCAAAAGGAGAATGGTTTTCCAGTTCACTAAAATACAGTCTTTATTGTAGCCTAGAATGTCCATCTTTACTATAGCCTAGAATGTCCATTCATGCTCCGCTGATAGTGTCATATCCTGTACTTCTATCATTTCTTCATGCTTTCACTCTAATCCAGCCACGTGGATCTCCTTGCCATTCCTTGAACACTTCAGTCACACTTCTCTTCAGGCCCTTTGGACATATTGGTCTTCCTGCACAGAACAATTCCCTAGGTGCCCACATGGCTTGTTACCTCACTTTGTTCATATTTCCACCCAGATGTCACCTTATCACAAAGCCCTCCCCAGCCAGCCTTTATTAAATGTCAGCCCTCCCATTCCACCCCCAGTTATCTTTATCTTCTTATCTTATATTTTTTTGTCTGTTTCTTGCTCCTCTATGGAATATAAATTCCAGGAGAGTGAGGACTTGGTTTTGAGGACTACTTGCTGTATTGGTAATAATTTGAATAGTGCCTGGAACATAGTAGACTGTCAGTTAGTTGAGTGAAAAATTAGATAATTTTTTGTGTGTGTGAAAAGTAGATAAATTGAATGAATATATACTACCGAATCATCGTTTATCTGAGGTTGTCATGACAACTATATTGGACATTTTTAAACATTTCCTCTAGATGTATCCTACCAAAAATCTGGAATCAAATACTTCATAAACTCAGTCTATAGGTTGGTAGAATGAGAAATACAGAAATGAGAAACTTTAAAGTTAAGAAAGTCAAAATGACTTTGGTAAATATAGAAAGTAATTTGAGCATTATTATCTTACACCTAGAAAACGAGAAATCAATCAGAATTTAGAGTTACTATGGGCAGTTGATAATAAAGATATAGCATGCTTTATAATTTTTACTTTTCTTTTAAAATAAGGAATGTACAGTAATATAACTAGCTTTTAGTTGAAGTATGCAAGCTACAGTGCTGGTTTACATGAAATAAAAACGAGTATAAATGTCATTTTAACTTGGAGAAAGAAAGCTTAAAGGTGACTTAATAGTTAATTTCAGGTATAAGATTTGTTTTTGTTTGTGATGCTGTTAGTATAATTTTTGCTCAGCAGAGCATAGGCCATTTAAAGTCCTGCTATTATGCCTTTATTATGAAATATAAAGCCTCTCAGAGGTAAAAAAGAAAAAAAAATACTGTAATTACTTTACAATGATTAATTTTCTGTTTGTCTCCATCACCAGGAAAATTCTCTTTTCTTTCTCTAAAGGACATTTAAAAAATTTCTATGTGGCTGTTCTCTCTCTTGAAAGGCTGATAATAAGTTTTTAATGGGGCAAAAAGATAAAAGATTAGCTAAAGAAAATGGCAATTTTTTCAAGATTTTAACATTTTTGCTTCCTTTCAAAATATAGAAAAATTTAGTATGTTTTTCTAAGTATTTATCATCCCCTAGTGAAGTATCTTGTCTTTTGAATATATTTTTACCTGTTTTTTATTACTTCCTCCAAAAAGAAATGTTGAAATGTTCTATATACAAATGAAAGAACTTATAGTACATTTTGCTAATTCTAGGTCTTTCCAATGTTATATCATATTTGAAGATCCATAATGCCAACATTTCATTTGAATTCCTGTACAACAAACAAGTAAACTAAAATGCTATTTAATATAAAATACTCAGTTTATTTTTGCTTTACCTTAAATAAAAGCCCTTTTGATTTTCTTTGTGTGTTTATATTCTGTTTTAAGTTCTAACTTAGATACATCATCAATCCCTTTCATTTTTACCAAACTCTTATCAAATAGAACTCCAGTGGCCATGGACAGTAGGAGATGGGGCTGATAAATATTTGGATTTTCTTAAAATGAAAGAAGAACTTGTTCTCGCTTGTAGAGTCATACATCACAGTTTTAATCTCTAACTCTAATTTTCTGAAGAAACTTCAGCCATGGTAGAAATTACCACCATCATCATCATCCTCCTCCTCCTCATCATCCTCATGATGGTTACCAACAAACAGGAACTGCTAACACTTACTGAGTGCTTACTGTGTGCCAGTTATTGTTAACCATTTTACATGAGTTAACTCATTTAAACTGTTCAACATTTCTATGCTGTAGATGTGACAGTTGTTCTATTTCAGTGATAGGGAAAATGTAAAATTCCTTTTGAGGGAGTCATGGCTAGAATGTGCTGATTAGGCTAGATGTTAGATCTGGATTAGATGAAGCTGTGTAGCTATAGAAGCTATTGATAGTTACCATGAACACTTCCCTTTAACCTTAAACAAGGACACCACTGTCTGCTGCTGCTCCATTTAGGCTGCTGTCTCACAAGGCATGATACATGTTTCATCTTGTTTGTTCATGTGCTTCATGCCACCTTGTGCCTGACCTTCTCATCACCAAGGTGTAGCAGCAGGTATGTAAAGCAGGAATCTTTTGTAAGAACGTTAGGCTTGCCCACTGTGACAGCTGCACAAGAGTCTCTCAAGACTCATTTATGTTTTAAAGAGCAGCATGTATAGATACGGCTTTGAAATAGGCAAAGTTTACATTTATGTCTTCCAATTCATTTTTCTCACCTGTTCAGTATCATATTACTGCCACCTTCCATTCTCCATCTCCTACTCCTGGATGCCTGCATTATTTTGCCATGGATATGTAAAGCAATGTCACCTCCCCCCCCATATCCTCTATTCTTTAAACCGATTTACAGTTTTTGGAAGACAGTGCTAGGTAAACTGAATAAACCTGTAATTGGTGAGTATTTCAGATAGTAGAAAGAAAGGAAGTAAATAACAATCATATTTGACTGTTTTGAGACTCACTGAGCCACCAAGTTAGCTCTGCTTGAGACTTTGTTCTTTTGCAGTGTTTAGAAACTGTTTTCTGGTCACTTTTCTTCTCATTCTTGAACCTATAGAATTTTATTTTCTTTTGCTTTTTTAAAGAAGAGTGAGGAAGAGCTTGAGGAAGTTTGGTGCTGTGATCTGGGATGGGAGGATAAGGCAGCATTCTCTCACTACTATATTGATACATTTTAAGTCACATTATCAGATTATTATATGATAATGTATATATGTATATATATATATATGGCTGAGATTATCTGTGCTCCATTTCAATAGTTCTTGTTTGTAATACCTTTTAAAAGAACCAGCTTAGTCTTCTATCTAGGTAGACTAAGGGAGTTGAAGGGCTGTTAGGGAAGAACAGTGAGAGAAGTCTGAAAAAGCATGAAGGGTGTTCAGAACAGTGAAATCCTGTTTTTACTCAGCTCTTAAGACTTCTAGGTAAGAAATGGAATATTGTTATCATTTTAAGAAAACCTATGCTGTTGATTATTTAAAATTGAAAAATAGGTATTTTTGTATTTTATAGTCCCTTTAACTTTTAAAATGCCGATTTTACAAACACAATATTTAAAGTAAGCCTTTTTGGGGCATATCTCTGTGTCTCTTAAATTTTTGAGGTTTTACTTTCTTAGACTTGTGTATTAAGATTTTTATCGTTAATATAACAGCATTTACTTGATATTGATTTTGTTAGCTAGGCAAGCAGACTTGTTTAAATTACTTTTTTTATGGCTCATTTTCTTCCTCTTTTTTTTTTTTTTTTTTTTTTTTTTTTTAATAGGATACGAATTGCCGGAATTAGGGGCATTCAAGGTGTGGTTCGCAAAACAGTTAACGATGAACTTCGGGCCACCATTTGGGAACCTCAGCATATGGATAAGATTGTTCCCTCCCTCCTGTTTAACATGCAAAAGATAGAAGAAGCTGACAGGTATTTAAAAAGATGTCAGTGTTGAAACTGTTACTTTTATGTATATGTATGTATGCTTGCCTAGGTTAAGAACAGAGTTTTGTCTTTACAGTTTTGTCTTTAATACTCTGTAAACAGTAGTCTCATAAAGTTAAGTGAGTTTAAAAATATTACCTTTCTGAAAAAATTTTAGTCTGTAGTGATCACATTAGGATTAGTAGACTATAGATTATTATTCATACAACTAAGCCTTCTTTTTCTTTTAGAATAAGTTTACAGTTTATTTGTCTCTTATTATTGAATATCCAAATTGCTGTTTTAATGAATACTACTTAAAGTTGCAAATGTAAGAAACAGAAATTACAGCTCTGCTTCTGTTAATATAAAAGATCTAGCATACTTTTGCACAGGAAGTTAGAACTAACCAAAATAATAATGATAATAATAATAGCTACCCACACTGTATTTTATTTTTTCAACAAAATGGTTAGACACTATTCATATTTGATTTGTCCTAAGATATTTTGGAATTGAATATTATTTTGGGATATATGCTCATTTTTTTCTTTTTCCTCTGCAACATTCACTTGCACTTGGAATTCTGTACTTTATTCCACTTTTTCAAATACTGGAAGCATGCTTATCCCCCACATTTCTGTTGCCATACACAGAGATAACAAGTTAATAATAATAAATTAATGAATAATAAAATATTCATTATATATAAATAATATTTAATATATTTAGTATAAATTAATGAAGATTTCAGAAGCAGTATTCTTCAATGGCTTATTACCGTTTCCTGATTCTTGCAGTTTGAAGAGGAAAATTTGAATCTAATTTAAAAGTGATTCAATTCTATAGTTCTAGATTTAAATTTTGTTTATAATTTTTGTGGTTATATGTGTAATGGCAACATAAAACTAGTCTAAAAATGTAATTGATAACTCTATGGTAGCACTTGCACATTCGTGTTAATTTACACTAATCACAGAAAGGATTCATGCTTAATTCCTTGTATGTGACTGTCTCCATCTTTGGGAACCTTCCCTAAAGTGTGAAACTTGTCATATTTTATCATTATCTGTATTTTTCCTATTCTTGGCACTGTAGCTGAGATGAAAGTGTCCTTATCTAAAATATTTACTATTTCAAGGATCACTAGCTAGAGGGAACCCATTTCCCGTAACTATGGCTCTTGCGGTCGAGGGTTAGCCTAAGTAAAATATAGGAAACAGAGCTCATTGGTTGTCATTTCTTAAGAAATTATATTTTTTCATGATATAATCCCAGTGCAACATACACATTTTTAAAATTATTATTCATAAATTCATTAGCCTAAAATAATGTTTCAAGATGTGAACAGAATATTATCTGCTGAAGACAGCTACATATACAGATATTCTAATTAGCTTTTAAATTTTATTTTTTATTTATAGGCTAGGTCATAGTTTTTCACTATATTCTGTTTTTGCCCATTTACAGTTAAATTAAGAACACCTAAAGATGGTATCTGGGCACTGCGTTCTCACTAAGATTTTGCTATAAATAGAGAAAAGTTAATGAAAATGAATAGCAAGCTGCTGAGTATTTTACTTATATAAAAGACATTCTGTTAGAAAGAAGTTGCACAGCCAAGTTTATTTCTTCTATTTGAAAGAGCGTATGATTCATTTTGGTGGTGTTAAATTCATGAGATTATAATTAAGCTTTATATTTACTGGATGATAAAAAGCAAATGCCGTTTTAACATTTCTAAAAAGTAAAGTATATTCTGTTTATTAGAACTAATATTAAAATTCTTATGTTCGTTTTTCTTTATTTCGCTTTCTTTTTTAGTCGTATAGGCCCTCCTTCTTCTCCTTCTGCAACTGACAAAGAAGAGAATCCTGCTGTGCTGGCTGAAAATTGTTTCAGAGAACTGCTGGGACGAGCAACTTTTGGAAATATGAATAATGCTGTTAGACCAGTTTTTGCGTAAGTAGTTGGTGTTTTCCTGGTTATTTGTGACTTTGCTGTATTAATTGATTTAATTCTGTGTTAACTTATTTATAGAGGACAACTACTTTTTTACTTGTATGAGGAAGTTATTAATGGAACCAGTGTAACATTGTGGAGGTAGTACAGGACTGAGTCACAAATGATATGTTTGAACAGTGGTCAATACTTAAGTAGCTTTTTCCCTTTAAGTATGAAGTGTAATAATCTGTTTAATATGATGTGCATTGTTTAATGTGAATATCTACTTACAGACCTTGAAATGTGTATGTGCAGTGAAATATTTAAACAGTGTCCAAGTATAATGTATCTTGTTTTACTAACTTTCATGGTCAGTTTTTCCTGTTCCCTGGTTTCTATTTCTTGGCTTTTTGCCATGGCTGGGCTGCCTTAGATCACATTCACATATCTGAGCAAATAATCTTTTACATGGTGATTAATCAGAGCAAGAATATTAAATATCTCATTGGTACTTACATGCTCTCCTCCAGGCAAAATACATTAAGGAGCTTTTGAGTTTCTCCACCCACACATTCTGTCTCAAGCCTTGTTAAGCCTTTGTGTTTCTAACTCAATCACTAGATGATAGATCTACCATATAATATTCTGTGTAATTTCTAGACATTTTTGCTAGTCTTTCTTTTGTGAAAATTCACCTTGTCCTTTTCTCCTACTGACTGTAATAGTGACTTTATAGAATATGTACGATATTCTAAATGTAACATCCAGAATTCTTTTGTTTTTTTGAAATGGAGTCTCGCTCTGCTGCCAGGTTGGAGTACAGTGGCATCTCAGTCACTGCAACCTTAGACTCCCTTGTTCAAGCTATTCTCCTGCCACAGCCTCCCAAGTTGCTGAGATCACAGGCATGTACCACCACACCCAGCTAATTTTTATATTTTCAGAAAATGGGGTTTCACCATGTTGGCCAGGATGGTCTTGATTTCCTGACCTTGTGATCCACCCGCCTTGGCCTCCCAAAGTGCTGGGATTACAGGCGTGAGCCACCGCGCCAGGCCCAGAATTCTTTATTTATTACAGATGGATGTTATTAGCCTAGGGTTCCAAGTTGAGCCTTAGTTACAAGAATCTATAAATCACAAAATTATATTAAAAATTAAAGATTCATTGATTTTCAGTCTGTGTTTCTTCCCACCTCCAAAATATTGAGATCTACTGTTTAAAGGCTTATGGAAATGCCACTAAAAATTAATCAGGATTACATTGAATATACTAAGGGCAGATTTATTTTTTTAATATCTACACATCCTGACAACGTCAAATACCTTTTTTTATCTTAATACTCTTATTGAGAACTAATCTATAAGGCCTTAAAAATCTAGAGAGGTAGCTTGAGAAAAAAATTACCAAATAAGCTATACTTGAATTGAATAACTCGAACTGAGTTATATTCTTTTCTATATAGAAATTAAAAATTCTGATCATGTATTAGTTAATTAATTAAATTAATCTTAAGTAAATATGTGATTACATACTAGCCATTTAGTTGATTCAATATTAAATGCCCCCAGTAAGCGAGGTGCCATATATTTTGGGAATATATGCATTAATAACAAATGTGATGGGTGATTGACATGTACAATATTTATAAAACAATATATGGATTATGAGAAAAAGACAAAAAATGCTCTAGCAGTTGAAAACAAATAATTCATGTCTAAATTGAGAATTTAGGACCAACGTCTTTTTTTTTTTTTTTTTTTTTTGAGATGGAATTTCGATCTTGTTGCCCAGGCTAGAGTGCAATAGCACGATCTCAGCTCACCGCAACCTCCACCTCCTAAGTTCAAGCAATTCTCCTGCCTCAGCCTCCCAAGTAGCTGGAATTACAGGCATGCGCCACCATGCCTAGCTAATTTCGTAATTTTAGTAGAGACAGGGTTTCAAGGTGATCTGTCCACGTGGGCCTCCCTCCCACTGGCCCCCACTCCCACTGGCCCCAGCCAGGGCCAGTATCTTTTAAGGTAGATGAAGGTAGCTGTCAAAAACTGCTCTGGAAATTGTATTTTATTTGTAAATAATGCTTTAGTTTGACATTAAAGTCAGTTTTTAATTTTAGTTATTATTTGCATAAAGAAAATAAATGATTTAAAAAATTTTGAATATTATATTTGTAATCAACAGTGAGCACAAGACACTGATAATGTTAGCTGAAGTGGTGGATAGGGTTTAGGGCTTAGTGTGAGATAAGAGGGAAAAAGTTTAGCTTATACTGTAGAGATTTTAAAATTTTTTATTCAAGTTTATAGATAATTAGTGGAGATCATAGCTTAAAAGTATAAAGTGGCTAGAACTTCCCTTTGAGAAAGTTAATCATGATAGGGCTATATAGGACAAATTTGAGCCAGGGCCAATATGTCAGCAGGTTACTGTAATAAAATTCTTGACAAGTACGTATGCAAACTATAAGTAATTGGTAGCATGCTTGAGATAACAAAAGTTTATTTTTCTGCCTCTTAGCAGATGAATATTATAATGGACAATATTTAACTTGAAAATTGGTTAAGAATCCATAAAATCATGATAATACAGCTTATAGTAGCATTAAAGATTTATATGTTCTGAGAGTGAAGATGGAAGAATTTGCCTCAATTATGAAACTACCCAGTTTATCAGATTCAGGTTAACTGTACATTTGTTTTCTGTAAATGTATAAATTTTGTTCTATAAATTATCTGTATGTTTTTTTATCACTACTTCTGTCCACTTAATTTTAATTAGTGGATTTCATTTATGCCTTCTACTCTTCAGACTTCTTCCAAACAAGTAGCCATGTTCAAATGCTTCTTCGAATCTACAGAGGCTAGCTCATAGTACGTAACACATAGTAGACCTTAAAAACTGATGATTCAAGATGGATTTCAGGTCTTTTTTTTTGGTACCATTTCCATTTTTAATGCCTCAAAAAGTAATTATTACTTTCCAGGAGATGAAAGTTATAAGAAGCAGCAAGCACAGATGTTAATATAGGTCATATCAGGATATACTGTTTATTAGTTGTATGAACTTGAAAAACCCAACCTCTCTGAGCTCCAATTTTTTCACCTTCGAAAAGATTTTAATGCACGCATTAAATGGTTTATTTGTATCTTAAAATAGAAGCTATTACTTGTCAAGTGCTGGCTGCACCCTGTGACTATGCTAATAACCTTATATGCTTTATCTTACTTAATCCTTTTACCATATGAAGTGGATGTCATTACTGTCCCCATTTTCCAGGTCAGATTTCTGACCCTTAGAGAAGTCAAGTAACTCACTCATGGACAAGGACATATAGGTAGAAAGTGAAGTCAGAATTCAAATTCTGATCATTTTTTTACTGAAAATCATGGTCTAAATTAACCGTTAAGGTTGATAATATATGCCTAGCATAAAATATATTTTCAACAAATAATAGTTATAATAAAGTTGGTTTTGATATGGAAGGACAATTTTTATACTTTAATTTTGATACAGTAAGTGAGAAGTAATCTGGCAATCTGTGGATATAATCTAAGGTTGTTTTCCTGGTGTTTTCCAGCCTTGTATTTGTCCATCATTTACCCTCTTTCATTCATATTTACTTGTTAGATAAAATTATTCATTGCAAGAAGTAAATTAATAGATTGCAACATTGAAAAAACCTGGGAATCAGTAAATATTTATTGATTAAATGTTCACGAAACTACTACTGGTCCACAGCATTGCTTTAGAAATAGCTTTAATTGTGCCGGGCGCGGTGGCTCACGCCTGTAATCCCAGCACTTTGGGAGGCCGAGGCAGGTGGATCACGAGGTCAAGAGATCGAGACCATCCTGGTCAACATGGTGAAACCCCGTCTCTACTAAAACTACAAAAAAATTAGCTGGGCATGGTGGCACATGCCTGTAATCCCAGCTACTCAGGAGGCTGAGGCAGGAGAATTGCCTGAACCTAGGAGGCGGAGGTTGCGGTGAGCCGAGGTTGTGCCATTGCACTGCAGCCTGGGTAACAAGAGTGAAACTCTGTCTCCCAAAAAAAAAAAAAAAAAAAAAAAGAAATAGCTTTAATTGCAACATATGTTTCATGAAGTTCATTAAGAATTAAATTGAAGTCTTGCTTTTCTTTTAGGTAGTATTCTCACTTTAAACTTTTCCTATTGTTGAGGTTTCTAGAGGAAGAAAGCGTAATAAAATAAGGAATTTTAAAGTAATTTTTTGTTGTTATTTGCAGGCATTTAGATCATCACAAACTGTGGGATCCCAATGAATTTGCAGTGCACTGCTTTAAAATTATAATGTATTCCATTCAGGTAAGGTTTGATTATTTACTATATTTATATAAGCAATTTTGGTTCTTTATAGATAAGCACATTATCTAACAGATGTGGAGAGCTATAGGATGTAAATCATCGCTCTTAATTTAGCTCTTTTGTCTCATTAATTTTCCTTTGCTACTTATTTTCTTATTTGCGAAGATGAAAAATAGATCTAATCAAAAGAACTAAATAATTCTATCATGGTTCCCTTCAGCACCAAGACCAACACAGACAAACTTCTTGACAGTCTCCTGTTGTTTTTTAGGGGTTCTGAATTGACACAGGGATTTCTGATCTGATAGCCTACCTTTCCTATATGAGCCCTAAGCTTTGTATCTGGTCTCCATGTATACAACTGTCTAAATGAGTAGCTCTGGGCACTGAAGAGCTGAAGATTTGCCTGGAACTGCTGCTGGCCTTAGTGTGCACTCACCTTTCCAGATGCTTGCCTTTTTGTGGAATTCGGATTAAGGGACTTTCCTTTCCTGCCACTTTATCTGGATATCAGAAAGTCTTATATATAGCTGACCTTTGAATAACACAAGTTTCAACTGTGCAGGTTCACTTATAGTGTAGTTTTTTTTTTTCAACAAAAGGGAGATAAAAAATCTATTATTTGTTGAATTCAAAACCCCAAGTATATGGGGAGCTGATTTTTTCCATGCAAGGCCAACTGCAGAGATGGATTTCGGGCCTTGTTTTTGGTACCATTGACTTGGTATGGAGTGGGGCTGAAGCCCATCCCCAAGTATATCAAGGGAAAGCTTTAGTCTAGTATTGTACTATTGTTTTATGACAGGGCTTGGCAATTTGGGAAAACATGTGTAATATTTCTGGAAATGGTAGTACATACCAGAATAGGAATTTCTGTTTAATACTATCATTGTACAATTAAAACTTTGGATAGTTTTGATTGTTTTAATTGCCATTTGCATAAAATTGGTATAAAGTACTTAGAAGAGTGCCTGCTTCTGGTCACTTCTGAATGAAATGCTCTTTTGTCATTACTGTTACGTTCAATGTTATAGTCATATATTAGCTCAGGAGTCACCAATTGAAAAGTGGTAATAATAACTAATGCATATTGAGCTTTTTTCATACAATAGATACAATTTGGGTGCTTTATATAAATTAACTGCTTTAATTGCCCCAAGAATCCTATGAATAATTTTTATTATTTAAATATTATAGATGAGGGAAACTGAGTTACAGGGAGATTAAATAATTTCTGTCTTAATCTGAGAGCTATTTAGCTATTAAATCGTAGGGCCAGAATTCGAAATTGGGCTAGTTGACTACATGGCTTATGTATTTAATCACCACTGTATTATGTTGCTTCGTAAAGTGATTCATCTGTTAACATTGCCTTAAATATCAGTGTAAGGGCAAATTTTGCCATAAGTAAATGAAACCTTAGCACACGTGACTTCAATATACTGTGTAACATCTTCTCACTTTCCTTCCTTTCACTCCATATTCTTGTAACACATGATATCATTATTGAGTTGTTCTTCATAAGCAGAATGAACACATACCCTGGTTTGCGTAGTATGGTCATACTTTATGTGTAATTATTAACAATACTTCCTTCACTCTCTGTGGTGTCCTCATTTGGACAGTAAATCAAATGGCTACCTTACCTATAAAGGCAGACTAATAATTGCACAAGTTCACATATCAGAAGCACGCAGCTTCCTGAGCAAGAAGTTCAGTTTCAGGTTGTGTGTATGTGTCTTCCTGCCTAACATTCATCTATTTTAACATAGCTTTGAATGAAACAATGTAAAGATGAAAACACAAACTTAGTTTTTATTTTGGATGGTTTTAAAAGTAGATGTGTGTTATGACAAAAATTTGAGAAATACCTAGAGATGAAATCTGTTTCTTGATAGAGAAGAAGGGGAATTTTTGCTTTTCAGCAGAGTAGCCATTATGCATAGGGCACTTCTTTCTTATCAAACCACACATTCCAAAGTAAAGAAAGGTAACCTACCTGAAAACAGCGCAGAGGTGGCCTGTCTGAAGACAAGTACAGACAGGGAGATTCAGAGCCACAGATGTTCTTGACAACTTCGTGCAGGATAGTAGACCAGTCGTGACTCATGGGCATTTAAGTGTAGGTTTAAAAAACAAACAAAAAAACCTTGCTACTCTTAAAAAAAAAACGTATTCACGAGTTACAAATAAACATTTTTCTGGCTATGCTTTTTTTGTTTTAGGCGCTAACATTCACTATAGTTGATCAAATTTGTTTATATGTAATAAAATTGCCTTTGTTACTTGCACATCTTTTGATATCTCCTTGATTTAAATTTTGTCAGCTACACATTGATAATATTTTCATTTTGACAGTAGCTCTTGATTAGATGAGTCTTTTGACTGTTTAGCATTGTTAGGTGTCCATATTAAATAGTATTTAGCTTGGGTAAGGGAAAAGTACTGTGAATGTCATAATTTATGTTTTTTACAAATTTTTGATCTGTTATAAAATTATAAGTATATAAATGACCTTTGTGAAATTACGGAAAAATGTAAAGGTAATAAAAATTTCTCATAAATTGCTTCCTCAGAGGTGGCCAGTGTTAATCCTTGTATATATAATTCTAATTTACTTTTTAAAAACTATTTTGAATTTTATTAAACAAAGTATTGTACAATATGCTTCTTTTCACTCAGAGTATCATAAATATTTTCCAGCATCTCTGTTTATTCTTCAAAAGAATGACTTGGTATTGTGGCTATATATTGTCTCATAATATGACTACCATTCCCTAATTGGACATTTATGTGTCAGGTGTTTTTTTTTTTTTGATTCTTATGAATTCTGCCAAGTTGCATGTGCTTGTTCATACATCTTTGTACTGTTTTGTCTCCTGTAGGCTCAGTATTCTCACCATGTGATTCAGGAGATTCTAGGACACCTTGATGCTCGTAAAAAAGATGCTCCCCGGGTTCGGGCAGGTATTATTCAGGTTCTGTTAGAGGCTGTCGCCATTGCTGCTAAAGGTTCCATAGGTGAGTGCCAATAAATAAAATAAAATCGTACATTAATCTAGTTCAAAGTGTTCTTTCAGTAGTTATAACAGTGTATGCAAAACTCCTTAAGAATATTTCTACACCATTTTAGATGTACTATAAGTTTTTCTTGAAATTTGGGTTCATGCAATTATTTTCAGGCTTCTTTAGTGCACAGTTAAGTATTTTCCTCCCCGTCAATTCCTCCTCCCTTTTCTTCTAATAAAGGTTTTTGAGTATGGATTACATACTGAACATTGGGAGAATGCAGATACAAGAAACTCATAGTGTACTTATGGTTAGACAGCTCCACCTAATACTGTAATATGTGACCGGCTTTGATAACATAGTGTAAAAAAGCCAGGGTTTAGAGAAGGGAGGGAAAATGGATTAGCACGAGCAAAATTCATGTGGCCCATTTTGGGTAGAATGATAGTGCTAGTTTAGAAGTCAGAGAGCTGGCTTTAAAATTAGGTCATAACCAAATTGTGGACATCGTTCTTTAGCTGATTAATAGTCCTTAAAGATTTACTCTAATCTTCATGAGAAATGTGCTATAGGATAATTTTTCTGGCAGCAAAATAGGCACATTAGAAATAACAAGTTCCTGCCGTTGTTGTGTGCATGAGGGAAAGAACTTGCCCTTGCATGGGAGCAGTAGGAATGACAATGTCAGGTTGACAGGATATGATCATGGGGTAATGATAAGAGGAGATAGTTCAAAAATTGCGATATTTTACCTACATGTAACTACAAAAATGGAATAGTCCGTATTAGAAGTACGGAAGTTTGAAGGGAAATCTGGTTATGGTTTCTTTGCTTGAAAATCAAAGTAGAAATATATTATCTAATAAAATAGTCATCCCTCAGTATCTGCAGGGGATTGGTTTGAGAACCCTTGAGAATACCTAACTCTGTGGGTGCTCAAGTCCCGTATATAAAATGGCGTAGTGTTTACATATAACCAATGCACACCCTCCCGTATACTTCACATCATCTTTAGATTACTTAAAATACCTAATGCAGTGTAAATGCTATGTGAATAGTTGTTATACTGTATTGCTTTTTTGTTTGTGTTATTTTTTTTTATCCTGGGTCCCCCCCCCGTATATTTTCAACCCATAGTTGGTTGAACCTGTGAATCTAGAATTGCAGATATGGAGGACCAACTGTATTCTTTTGTTCTTTTATTGTCAAATAAAGGTGGGCATTTTGGATATGAATTTTCGATTTTATCTTGTAACTTATCTCAAGGAGTTAAAACAGGTTATTTAATTGGAAAGTTATTTAATTGGAAACATGAAATGAAACAATATGATACATTGAATCGTCACATTGATTAATGTCCACTAACACTACTAAGTGTGTTAGGTACTATGTGCTAGGCTCTATATATTTGAAGAGGCATTTAAACATGACTACCTTTCCTAAAGAAACTTGAATCAAGAGTAAAAGGCAGAAATGAAACCCTCTAATTAAAATAAGGTAGACAGAAGCAGTGAGAGAAACACATGCAGAAAATTTATAGAACAAAATGCAGAAAACAAATGCACGGTTAACCTGAATCTAATAAATTCGGTAGTTTGTCTCAATTGAAGCATATTCTCCCTTCTTCAGTCTCAAAAGATGCAAAATAAATATTTGATGCTTCTGTGAGCTATATTATATGATTTTGTGGATTTGTACCCAGCAAGTAAGTTAAATATTGTCCTAGTACACATTATTGTGACCAGATAAGAATAAATAGGCAGAAAGCTTTTGGTAATTCTTATATGCATGTACACATTTTGTAAGGGTGGAATCAGAGATTCAAACGGCAAGTTGCTCATAAATGCCCAGTAAAATTTGTTGGTATAATGAAGGGGCTTTCTTAATTATTACTTACTTACTCTTTTTTTAAAAAATGAAATAGTTTATAAATTATGGACTTTTGACTACTTAGAAAATTACAAAAAAAATCTGTGGAGAAATAAGATAATTGACTTTGAATATGCAATACTAGAAACATGTATCTTCTCACATAAGTGATCCTTTATAGGTCCAACAGTGCTGGAAGTCTTCAATACCCTTTTGAAGCATCTGCGTCTCAGTGTTGAATTTGAAGCAGATGATTTACAGGGGGGATCTGTAGGCAGTGCCAACTTAAACACAAGCTCCAAAGACAATGATGAGAAGATTGTGCAGAATGCTATCATCCAAACAATAGGTGAGTGCATTTCACTTTTCAAAACTATCATGTAAAGCAGTGATTTGAAAAGCTCTCACATAAGGTCCTGGACTATTACATTTGTTAAAGATGAATCATAGCTTAAACTTCTGAAAACTTTATTTTCTGAAAATAAGCAAGCATGAGAATGTAAGAACACTATATTGTCCCATTAAATCTGCAGAACACAAATTCATCTATTATTAACATTTTATGCCATTTACTTTTTCATTTGCTTTTACTCTTTCCTGCATCTCTTTCTCCCTTCTTTCTCTTCCTGTTTCTTTATGTGTGTATGTCTTTGTGTGTGTATGTATATGTAAGAATAAACACAAACACATGTATTTTTTTTATAAACCACAAGATACAGAAAGTTGCACACATCATGGCCTTTTACCACTAAATACTTCAATGTATTTTTCCAAAGAATAAATGTATGTTTTAATATAACCCAAGTAAAATTGTCAACATCACTAAATTTAATATTGATCCAGTACTTGAATCAACCTTTCATATTTCAGTTTTATTAGGTGACCCAGTAATGTCCTATACTGACTTTTTTCCTTGGGTCCAAGATTCAGTCTAGGATCATATATTGAGTTTAGTTGTAATATTTCTTTAGGTCCATTAGGGAGGAATGTTTCCATTATGACATGGACATTTCTTATGAGTAAAGTCCCCCTCCCACTTTTTTTTAAAATAGAAAGTACCTTATTTGGTTTTGTTTGGTGTTTCCTTGTGATTAAATTCAAGTTAAATATTCCTGGCTAGAATACTACATATGTGATATGTTCTTCTCAGATTAGCACATTCGAAGGTACACACTGTAACTTATCCTTCAAGTATAAGCAACATTATACTTGGTTAGTGACTGTAGTTAGATGCTGCAGTAAAGACAAGTGCAGACTACTTTATGTCCTTGTGGTAATAACTAATTTGTTTGGGACAGAAAGTCAGTGTCCAGTTTTGTGCAAGACTAGGAATGTATCTAGTTGGGTGCTTGAAAAGCTAAAGTAGCTTGTATGGAAGAAGTATGGAATAATAATAGCCTAGACTTTGGAAATAAATAACCCTTACCTCAAGCCCTAATGTTAGCTCTCTAATTTTTTGGTAAGAGTTCTTCTCTTAATGTCATTTCTACAAGAGGAAACTGAGACAAAAAATAGAACCTAGACTCATAAGGTTGTTTTGAGGATCCAAGTACAAAATAGTTTATTATTCCATAAATATGTATTCGGCAAGTGTTAACTAGAATAATGTACTTTATGGAGATGGAGTCATGTTAAAGTTATGAGATTATTGACTGCTAAAGTACATGATTGTTGGAAATGACTTTTACCCCTAGGTCCAATCGAAATAATGACTAGAACAGTTTGAGTTTGTATAAACAGACCATTAGCTCCAGTAATAGAAGCTGAACAGTTACATTGAAAAGTCAGCTTATTCTTAAAAAATACTAAAAATGCAGAAAGTTTCTGTAATGACTGCACTGAACTTTAAGAAACGAACATAACAGCCGTGATTTGATAGTGTGTTCCAATCCTTCTAAGAAATAAAAAACTTTTAAAGCGTTAGTAAATGATAATTAAATTTTATAAATCTTTTGTGACCAGGAAGTAAGTATCAGAAGCTACAGCAGATAAATTTAAAATATTCTCAGAAACTAGACTGGATAAGAAAAATGACAAGTTATTTACTTATTTTTTACATCAGTTGAATTACATATGTTGAATTCACAGGGGTAATCTATAAACTTGGCTTACTATAATGACACTCAAATATTTGAGCAATCCTGGAAAACCAGAATAGTGACCTAATTATTGACTTCTTTACTAGACAACGTGTAGCTAAAGTACCAGAACAATAATTTAGGCAAAATGTATGAACTATAGTTTCATCAGAAATACTACCAAAGTATTTTCCCCTTTTTAAAACTCCAGTCAACTCAAGTCAGTGCTGATTTGTCACTGTTATAACTATGTAAAAAAGACTTTGATATATTTATTATTTTATCTATCAGTCCATTATACTACACAGCTTATATGGTACATAACTAAATGATTTTGGGCACATGAAACTGTAATATCCTTTAATGTTACATGCAGCTTAAAGACTTGCCAGTGATTGTTTTACCACATTTTGAAAGCTTTGGCTAAAAATAATTTTGTATTATATGGAAAAGTAGACTTTTTCAGTTTCTAAAATTTATCCTAATACTCTCATAGGATTTTTTGGAAGTAACCTGCCAGATTATCAGAGGTCAGAAATCATGATGTTCATTATGGGGAAAGTACCTGTTTTTGGAACATCTACCCATACTTTGGATATCAGTCAACTAGGGTATGTTTTCAGACTGCAAATTTGAACTTAATCTTGAGTTACATTTTATCCTAAAGAAATCCAGAAAATGTTAAAAGTTTTGTTTTTTAAAATCAGTAATAAAATTCCTATGGAAAGCAGTTAGTATTATTATGACAGTAGATTGCTAAGCAATTGAATCAGCACTTTTATGCCTTTAGAATTATTTTCACCTTATAAATTCTCAGAGTTTCCATCTTTAAAAATTGTATTTGTTTGGCCTGGACGTTGTGTGTGTGCATACATATTTAGGGTGAAGCTTCAAGTTTTCTGTATAAATTTTAAAAATTAATATGTCAGGAATATTGGCTTATTACTAGAAATTTAGAACTGAAAGTGATAAAGATTATGTGCTCTGACCCCCTTATTTTATACATTTAATTTGATTTTATAACATGCTAAAATTTTTGTTTGTGAATGTTTTTGTTTTGTTAATTTAATAAGGAAGTAATAGTATCTTATTCAGCTTACATTTCTTTGACCATTTATTTTTTTTAAATTGTTCTTTCCTGTTTATTCATATTTGTTAAAGAGAGATACTCATCAATTATGTTTATAGTAATTATTTTCTCTCATTTAAGGTGTCTTAATTTGGGTTGTTTAGTTGTCTGTGTATATGATTTAATTTTCTTGTCATCACACACATAGGACTATTTGAGAGCCAATAACACATTTTTTTGTTTATATATTTAATTTTTTTAATTCACATGAAATTTACTTTGACATGTAAAGTGAGCCGTGACTTAAATTGTTATAAAAAATGAAGCCTACTTAGCTAGTAAGAATAGAATTTTAAAATCCAATAATTGAAGTAAATGAAGTAATATAAATGCTAATTAGTATAATAATTCCAGCCTTTTGTATATTTTAGGGATTTGGGAACCAGGAGGATTCAGATAATGTTGTTGAGATCTTTGCTTATGGTAAGGCATTTAAGACAAATAAAGGAAATACTTAACCTTAAATTACTGAAAAGAGTAATTGAATAGCTTTCTTTTCTTAATTAAGTTACTGTTTATGGTTAATATTTTATTATGTTCTTCATTTTAAAATTAGCCTATATTTTTTACTGATTATTCCTCATTTTTCCTGTCATTTTGTTTGATCATCATAATGATGAAACATAGAGAGGGCAGAAACTATTGCTGTCTTATAGATGAAAATATCTGGGCTCAGAGACTGTGAGTGGTAGGAGTTGATGAGGTCCACCAAAGTCGCTGGGTGAAAAAATAGAACTCAGACTTGAAATCCAAAGCTCTTTCAACATATGCTATTTCTCTCTCATACTTACCAAATAATCACTTCTGATTGGAAAAAATAATTTATTAAAATTAATAGTTGCCATTTAAAATTTGAAGTGGCTATAAATAGCTGAAAAGAAAAGGTAAACCCAGAATGAAAGGTCCTCTGGTATTTTCTAGTAATTGTACTCATATTTGATTCAAGTGCTCCTAGCATATATGTGTCCTTTTCAAATCAGTATCTTTCAGATTTATCCTAGAAATGTTTACATGATCTCATTTTTTTAAATGGGCTATCTCAGACCTAAGTGCAGAAATACCTTGCGTGGTTTTATTTTTAATTCTGTTTAATTCTGTTTATGGTGTTTGTCATATAGAAGTTTTGAATTCTAACATAGCCAAATTTATGAGCTTTTTTTCTGTGTGTTTTGTACTTCTCATTTGCATCTTATATAAGAACTCTATGCCTCCTCTGATGATATAAACACATTTGTTTATATTTTCTTACAGCAGTTTTAAAATTTTAGCCCTCTACATTTAGAATTTTAATCTGAAGTTTATGTTTACATGTGGTATGAAGCATAGATTTTCCTGGATGAGTTGACAGTTGTCCCACCAGCTTCCCAGCTGACTTATAAAACTACCTCCATCCTATAATAAATATCCAAATATAAATGTTAAATATTTCATGTATATTTATAATCCTGGAAATATGTTGAAATCTTCCACCTGTAATTTAATTTTATCATTTAAGCCTTTATTTATATTAAACAAATTCCCTAAATAAATTATTTTGTCTTGCCATCCTGATTATACCACATAGTCAACTGAATGAATATCTATATGATATGCTTAAAATGTTTAATAGTATTTAAGTATATTCTCTTTAAAAGTTTTAAATTTTGAAGATACTGATATACTTGTAAATGTCAAATCAAGTAACCAACAAAGTACAGCTTTCCAAAATGAAAATGTGTTCCTATTAACTAACTGCTTAATTTAACATGAAAAAATAATTTACAAATTTAAATTTAAAATTTGCAGGACTTACTTTTAATTTGCCACTTAAGTTCCTTATATCTGTTTTGTACTAACCTTAACCTCTCTGAGCCTCAGTTTCTCCTTATAAATGGAGATTCACTAGTATCTACCTTACAGAGGATGGTGAGGACAAAGTTAATACATATGCAGTGCTTAGAATCATGCCTAGCACATGGTAAATGTATGCTACTATTACCTTTATTCTCCTTATGAATGATGTTTTTGTAAATTCAGTATAATCCTTCATTACTTTGCACATTTCCTTTATGTCCTTTCTTCAGGCTTCTGTCCGTACTTTCTTTCCTAAGTTTATGGTACTTATAAAACAATATGAGAATTTTACAAAAAAAAGGACATGACAAAAGGTTATTTTCTTCCCAATAATCAGGTAACCTCTGGATACAAAGCAAAGACGATTGTTACTGCATTGCCGGGGTCTTTCCTGGATCCTTTGTTATCACCATCTCTCATGGAAGACTATGAACTGAGACAGTTGGTCTTGGAAGTAATGCATAATCTCATGGATCGCCATGATAATAGGGCAAAGCTTCGAGGTATCAGGTAATATGCCATTTTGAAATTGCTCTAATAATAGTGTTTTTATATTGGTAAATTTGTATATTTAAGTATTGTGATTTTAACAAATTTAGCATGTTTAGGTTTTATTAACCCAGAGTTTTATTTAATTGGTATTGAGATAATTTAATCATTAATATATATTAAGATAGCAAATGTTTGGAGGTCATATATGTACTCTTTAGAAGCAATTCAATAGTCATTACATACAGGCTTATCAAACTCCTAAGTATAAATATAATTTTCCATGTAAGATGTAATATTGTAAATAAATGTGCTATTCATTAAAAATGATATGTTGGTTGTCTCTAGAATAATACCAGATGTAGCTGACCTAAAGATAAAAAGAGAAAAAATCTGTAGACAAGACACAAGCTTCATGAAAAAGGTAAGACATCTTCTAAAATAAATAAATAAATGCCTAGTGTAAATTACAACCATTTGAATTGTTAGGTGGTTTTATATTGATCTGTAACCTTGAAATGAAACCATATAATTTTGAATTTGAAAGACCTCAAGATGCCATCCTCAGCCTCTCTCAAGTATAACATTCCTGGCACTGTCTCCTCCAGCCTGTGTTTAAACATTGTATTGTTGGACTACTGTAGTAGTTCTAAATTTCTTCTCTGAGTAAAATGTCTTCCTGTAATTCTTGCCCTGGCAATCCACTCCCACCAAAACACACATACTGATTCCTCTTTTAGTGGCTCTTTTATAGACAGCTTCAGGTTTCTGAAAATAGCTATCACTATCAAATAAATTAACTATGCTGAATATTTACTGTGTATTAGGCATTGTTTTCTACACTGTTTGGGATATAAAGATGAGTTGGGTAGGATCTCTGCCCCTGATAGTGGTTCTAGCTGGATTTTCATGATGTTAATTTAAGTTCTGTAGGTCTACTGGAAAATGACTGAAATCAGAAAATTAAATTTATGGTTATTTGCATATTGAGTAAACTTTTCTGTGCAGTTATTATTAGTCCAAAACTTGGGAATGTAGTATTTGCCAGACACTGAGTCAACATTGGAAGATACAATAACCATGACACTACCAACTGCCCTAATAGGGAATACAGTATTGCGGGCTAAGGGAGTCTGTTTTTAGAGGTGCAAGGAACAGGAGACAGAGCCCCACAGGAAATTAGGTGCAGAGACCTGTAATCTGTGTTCTATTTTGCCTCTTTACTAGACCAGGTTCTCTCCCTGACACCATCTTTAATGTTGCTGTCTCTACCATTACTGTCGATTGCTGTGATTCAAGTTAACTCCATTTTAAAACTTCATTTGAAAAATAATTTACAAAATATCACTCTTCCTAAATTAATATGATTCCTTGAATAAAATAATTATTTAAGTTAGGCTGCACTGTATATCAAAAAACTGGTTAATAAATAGGACAGATATATACTTCTCAATTTTTTTATTTCTTTATATCACCTTATTAATGAAAGAAGTTATTCTACATAACTGAGGAACTTTAAACAATTTTTTAAAATATTTTTAATTGACAAATTATAATTACATTTATGGGATACAATGTGATCTTTTGATTATATGTATATAATGTAGAAAGTTTAAATTGAGCTAATTAACATCCATCTTCTTGCTTACCTATCTTTTTAATGGTGACATATTTGAAATGTACTCTCAGTTATTTTGAAATATAAAATACACTAATATTGACTATAGTCACCCTGCTGTGCAATAAATAGATCTCAGAACTTAACAACTCCTCCCATCTGTCTGAAACCTTGTAACCTTTCATCAACAATCTCTTCATTCCCTCCTCCTTGCCCTCAGTCCCCACCTCTTGTTAACCACCATTCTCTACTTCTGTGAGTTCAACTTTTTTAGATTCTACCTGTAAGTGAGATTATGCAGTATTTTTTTCTGTGACTGACTTGTTTGACTTAGCGTAACATCCTCCAGGTTCATCCATATTGTCACAAATGAAAGAATTTTCCTCTAGTGAAAGGCTGAATAGTATTCCATCATATATATATGCCACATTTTCTTTATCCAGTCATCTGTTGATGGACACTTAGGCTGATTCCATACTGAGGAATTTTTAATCATTACTAATATGATGAATTTTGAAAACTCAATTGATTACTGATTTTTGAGTTTTTGACTGTGTGCAATTAAACAGTCATGAACATTCAGACTGGATATCATTTTATCTGTTAGGAGTTATAGAAATAATACTTCTGTGGTTAATTTTGCTAGTCAACCAATTTGAAAGGCTGTGATTTAGTGGCAAGATTAGACTGTTATTTCATGTTACATTTTGAATCCTTAAACTGTTCTCTGAATTAGTTATCCCTGTTTTATAATTTAAAATAAACTTTCCTAGCTAAGCATTTGTTATCATTAATGTAAACCATTCCTTTTTGGGTGTTTCTCTTTAGAAGCAATGTGTTCACATTTTTTTCCTTTGTCAGAATTTTTATTTTTATAACTTGACCCTATTTTGCATTTACCTTCCAATTTGTTTTATCAGTAAAAATGTTTGATTTTTCATATGAAACCTTAACTAGCAACTCAGGGAGGTTTCTGCAAAGACCTAAAGAAAAAAAAAAATGGGTTCTGTAGCCACAGGATGATAGATTGCCCTTTAGTTAAGAGAATCCTAGTTTAGCGTAGACAGTATATGTTCAATGTTAACATTGTGTGTTCAGGCAACTGTGTCTTAGATTACTACCCAGCCTAAAACTGTTCCATTTGAATTTTGTAGGGACATCTTATATATGGAGTCTGTTTGAAAAACAGTTTCAAGTGCTGGAATATTGGGAGGTATCACTTCACCTGTAATTTCCTCGTGAAGCGTATTCTTCCAGAGATAACAGTTGCCACCACTGAGTCTACAATTCAGTTTATAGTTTCTCTCCATGTGAAAGAGCTCTTGTTAATGTTTCACCAAATCAAGGAATTATGTAGAAAAAAAGTACTTTTTATTATGAAATATACTGGAATTATTACTTTAATTATTTTAAGGTGAACAACAGTATAACCAAAAGCGTCCCACCTGTTCTGTCCTATTCGTAACTCCACCCTCTCCCCTACAAGTAATCACTATCACTGCTCTGACTTGGATGGAAATTGACTCTTATGGACTTTTTTTTTTTTTTAACAGTTTTATTACCTAAATATACCTTAAATCCGTAAACTCTGCTATATTGTTTAGTTTTGCCAGTTTTTTGTAATTCGGGTGAAAGGAACCATACATTGCGTATTCTTTGATGTTTAGTTTTTTTTAAATTCAGCTCTATTTTGGTAAAATTCATCTGTGTGTGGCTTTATTAGTATTCCATTATCTGAATATACCACAAGTTTTGTTTTGTTGGCAGACATTTGAGTCGTTTCCAGTTAGTGAGTGTTATGAATAGTGCTACTATAAACATACTTTTACATTTGTTGTGCTGTATATAACTCCCATTTCTCCAAGGCCTGTAAGAGAGGAATTGCTGAGTAATAGGTTATATATTCTTCAAATTCACTAGATAATGCCATACCAATTTGTAAAGTCATTTGTATTTTTACATTACATATTACAGATTTTTTTATTTTATCTAATATGGTGGGTATGTAGTAGGTAATTTTTAAAAACAAATTTGAATTACTTAACCTGAAGTCTAAATTCTCACATATGGAAGCACCACTTTAATGTTTGTTAATGTTTAGCAACCATAGAATTCAGGAATATTCTTAGGTTTTGAGAGGACCGAATACATGAAGTTTTTTTTCCCACCCAAGTATAGAAACCATCTGTGTGTGTGTGAGAGAGCAGGAGAGACAAACTCTAGATTCAGAAAGGTGGAAGCCAAAATTACAACTTCAGAAATAAAGGAATCTGGTGGGTAGCTTTATATCTGTAGCCAAAGAAAACCTTACTAACACTATACCACAGATTTAAACACACTTACACAGTCACTGTCACAGCTGGAGAACTATACATCAGATACAGAACAGAGCAGAATGCATACTTGTTACAGACAAACTGGCTTCAGAAGAGTCTTTGCTCTTCTTTCCCAGCTTCTTCTAAAATGATCAGAAGAACCTTCTGAGAAATAGGCATGAAATATTAAGCCTAAAGTCTCTCCGCATGGGAAAAATGAGTGTTCTTAACCCTGGCTGCATATTATAACCACATGGGGAGCTTTATGCTCGAACAATACTAATGCTTGTGCTTTGCCACTGAGCAGTTACATCATATTAGAGGAGGGTGGACAGTGTGAGAAGTGGGGAGGGCAAGAGCATGGTGATCATTCCAGTTGTCCAGTGATTCCAGTGGACAGTTACAGTTGAGAGCTAATTGAGTTAATGTCACCATTGTGACTGGAAATGGCATTGCACTTATACTCAGGAATGCTTTCCTATCTAGGAAAGGCTTTAATAATCTTTATTAACATACTCAGATTAGCCTAGTTTAGGGGGAAACCTCTATGCAATACCAGGGGAATTTCTGTTAATAAGCTTTAGACTCACCTTCAGAGACTCCATGCCAAAATATAACAGAACCTGCAGATGCTGTTCTCTGAACAGCTAACCCACAGCACAAGGATTGTTCCCCAGTCAAGAGAGCCTGGGTGCATTTCCTCTCAGCACAGTGTTCTTTGCAATTGCTGAGGCTTTATTGCTAAAGTATCTCCCAGGATTCTGCCATCCATTTCACTTTTTTTCTCAAGTCAATCCATAATTTGCGTTTGTTTTTTCAAATTACTGTTAAAAAACATTTTCATTGTTAGCACAGGAACTATTTTTTACTTGTTATTTTTATTTAAGGTTTGTCTTCAATTCTAACATTGGTTTATAGTTGTATATTAGCATATTGATTGATGTTAGTCATTGGAATTTGACCATCTGATCATCAACTTAAATTTCATTTTCATGTTAAGCTATATAATAATATAGCTACATTGTAAAAGTGTATGCATGTGAACTCTGTCTTTTCTATATTTTAAGCAAAATTACCTTTTTCCTCTGTCTTTTCTCCTCAGAATGGGCAACAGCTATATCGTCACATATATTTGGGTTGTAAAGAGGAAGACAATGTTCAGAAAAACTATGAACTACTTTATACTTCTCTTGCTCTTATAACTATTGAACTTGCTAATGAAGAAGTAGTTATTGATCTCATTCGATTGGCCATTGCTTTACAGGTATGCTTTCATAACCGTTCACTGCAGAAAACATTTTTTTGTAAAGCAGACACCATCTTTGAAGTGTTGTCTTTATCTAAGGACTTGAATTTTAAAAGGGAGGTATCTACTTCTTAATCTAAAATATACAACACTATGATCACATTCTTCATTGATTCTTTTTACATATGTTGATTGAGCATCAGCTTGTATGCTAAATATCCTTCAAGGCCGTAGGGATACTGTGATGAAGAAGAAGAACCAGTTTCTGTACCCTCATTTCCTAGTGTGGAAGATAATCATAGTCTAGTGGGGAACATAGTCATTAAATAAGAATTACATATAGGCAGTTGTTTAATTAGGGTTGCGTAAGTGTTATGTAATAGAAGGACGGTATGCAGTGGCTGTATATGCATATGTGTGTGTATATATATGAGAACAAGAAAGGTTTCCTAAGGAAGAGAGTTTAAGTTGAAAAATTTAACACTCTTGTAAATAAACATTTATTTTCCTTTCAGAATTCTTTTAGAAAATAATTTCTGATAAAGTGGCATTTTTGTTAGCATTCCAGACTACCTGCAGTTTTCCAGTATAATCAGAGAAAATGCTGGTAGAGCATAAGAACTTGATCTCTCTAATGTGTTTGTTTCTTATTAAAGGACAGTGCAATTATCAATGAGGATAATTTGCCAATGTTCCATCGTTGTGGGATCATGGCACTAGTTGCAGCGTATCTCAACTTTGTCAGTCAGATGATAGCTGTCCCTGCATTTTGCCAGCATGTTAGCAAGGTAATGTATTTAGAAAAGTCCTTAAACTTGAATTTTGTACAACATGGCTAATTTTATTCCAATGATGATTATTTTTAACTTTGGTGATTATCAAATTAAGATAATTCTATAAAAATATTCAGCCAGTAAATTGAAACTACAGCTAAAACTGAGCTACTGTTTTTATATTTTCTTAGATGCCTGTTTTTTTATTAGAATTTTTTAATGTAGTGGTTAAATGGAATGTATGGTTTTCTTCTAGAATACCTCATGTGATTCGTTCTATGACGTTTTTTCCTTTGAGCCATTGTGAATCTTAGTATCTAAAGTTTCTTAAATTATACTCTTTTGTTGTCATTTATTCTAAACTACTTGAGGCAGATCTCAAAAGTTGAATAAC